AAAAAGAAAAGAATTATAGTCTCGGGAGCTCATTGGGGCAGCTCTACCCTGTCCTATAGGGTCACAGTGAGTCGACATCGACTGTATGGCATGAGTTTGGTTCTGTTATTACATTCTCTTGAGAAATCTGATTATTTCCCTCGATTTATGCTACCTCGAATATATTCTTCCAAACATGTGTGTAAACTTCTCCCTCTAATCTGTCTTACTGGTTCTTCAACCTTAATCTAAAATGAAACTTGTTCCACAGTAGGAATAATTTTAAGACAGCCCCAATAATCTTGACTCCCACGATTAAAGAAAAGAAAGAGGGCTTGGTGGGTCCAATTAAATCACTTGAGTCCTTTATTTTAAATATTTATTTATCACTTTTATTACGAATTAGGTGAAAAGTTTATAGAACAGACCATCACTTTTATATTCAACAATTTATTTATTAAATCTATATAATTTTCTTTTTATTCTTATATTTTTATTATTTAGTTATGCTATAATTTATTCATTTCTTCTCACGTTTAAGTCTGTTACATCTTGAAATCACTTGACTTCCTCTCTATTTGAACATTTATAACTACCCTATTGCTTCTATTTTAAATCATGTTCATTATTTGTTTTACGTGTGCCCTTTCACAGCAGACAATGCTCTCTGGGTAGCAGCAGCAGAGGACAGCAGAGGATGCAAACGTGCGGCATTGTGATGTGGCACTGCAGGTCTGAAGAGGATGGGGCACAAAGGGAAAGGGCCAGAGGAGGAATCTGGGGCCTGATGCTACTACCACCCAACAGGGAGTAAAAGTCAGAAATCCAGGCCTATACTAAAGCAGGGAACCGAATTCTGTTTGCAAGAATGAGTTTGGGTGTGGTTTCCTTTCAGCCAAGAGCTGAAAGTTCAGCCCACACCTTGATTTTGGTGAGACCTAAAGCAGGAAAACCAGTCTAACATGCCCAGATTTCTGACTTACAAAACTATAGGCTGTTATTTCAGCAGCTAAATGTGTGGTACTTTGTTTTACAGCAATAGAAAACTACTACACCCAATCCTAAGTCAAGCAAAAATTTTATCCTGTTTACTACCTATTTTTTTCCAAGTGACAAACATCATAGCTACCCTATTTTTACACAAATACTGTTTGTGTTATACAGTTTTTCACAAACCATGCATGTGTGTGCTATGCATGGTGTATGGATGTGCATGTTCTTTCCATGGGGGACACACACACACATTGTTTTATTTAGTTCAGAAAGCCAAGGATCATCCTTGTCTCTATCTTTTCTTTCCACCTCTCATATGTAATTACTATAAAAACAAATATCTCTTAATTGTTGCTCTGCAGGATAAAGATGGGGCTTTCTACAGTCATACTCTTCCTGAGGTAAAGTCTTGGAAACCCACAGGGGCAGCTGGTTCTACCCTGTCCTTCCTACAGGGTCACTATGAACCCTTACTGACT